CCTTCTTCTCCTCTTTGTCAATCGACTTTCTTTGTATTATATTGATGAATTTTAGTATTATCGATAAAAAAAATTGGAAAAAGGTTTTTGTTATTGTTTTTGTTTAATGACAAAAAATTAGAATAATGTTAATTCGTATATGTCTTCCTTAAATTTTCAATAATGATTATGGTTGAATTCGTTCGAAGAAGTTCGACCACTGGATGAGCACTAGTTTTGCTCAAACTGATAAATCAAAACCACTGTAACCGTAAAATACCTTATAATAATAAAGCGCTCGACCTATGTTAGGAAATATATTGTTAATTTCTTTTAAAACACAAGAAATGAATTCGATTTCTGGTTGGTTTAAGCTTTTTGAAATTATACTTCTTATGGCAAGTTTGGAAAAAAATATGAGAGTAAAATTTTTTACGATGCGCACGCACTCTGGCAGCCAGAAAGCGACATGATGAAGTTAGCTGCATTCCTTTTACAGAGAGTTATGACATACGGGTTGAAATCTTTAGCTATTTTGTTTCTGTTACGCCAAAGTATAACTTCTTACGTGCGTACATAAGTACATACGCACGTTTTTTTGTTGTACAAAGTCTTTTAATGGTGGTCCTATTGTTTGGTTTCATGCTTAGTTATAAGACACTTCCTCTATATAATGCTTAGTCTGAGTTATTTTATTCAATTTTCATGACCACTTTTAAACTTGTAAGAAAGTTATATTTAAAATAGCAATTTTACATAAAAAGGGAAGTACAATAGTACCGATATTTGACTCGGAGTTTCAAAGCCTTTGCCTTTGCTCACTTTTATCGCTACAATCAGATCGTTCTTTTTGTTACTCGAAAATTGGATATCGTCCAATTTAAACGTTATTTGTGATTTAGTGTTAAAAATTAATTTGAATTTGTATGTTAATTGCTTTTGGATCTTTTTGTCCCTTTAGACTAACCTTAGGAACATACATACATATTATTTAAATTAAAGTAATTAACATAGTACTCAACTTTTCTAAATAGTAAAAAAAAAGCTTTACAAGAACTTTTAATACTATGTACTGAATGAGAACCTTCTTCATATCCATCATAGTGTCTCTACATTATATATACATATACTAAAATACTAACAAAGTGAAATGTAAACTTTATGTAGTGATAACTTATTACTCGGGTCAACATTTAGAATATCTTTTGCCTTAGAAAAATCTTTCATTCCCACGGGAAAATACAATAACTGATTCTATCGAGTCGTCCTTAGAAATTTAGATGGGTAACGCTGGCTTTAAGAGATACATCAAAACAATGTACTAGAAAATTGTAGATCTTAAAAAAGCATATATATATATATATATATATATATATATATATATATATATATATATATAGTAGTATTTGTCTATCTCCTAAGGTACACTCGCAATAACAGAGCGAAGCGATGGTAAGTCGCTAATAATACTATAAATTGCTCAAATTATTTCATAGTTTACTCAGCAATACATTCACAATTACATTAGGTTCGGCGTAAGTACTAAAATGTTATTTGCTATGTTTATACAGCTCTTTGAGGCTGAGCGTACATAAATTTTCACTTAGCATTATTTATACGAAACAAAGGTAAAGGTGTATACAATAATGTTGGAGATGCACTAGCGATGAAAGTGCACACTTTTCTAATAAAATTTAATAAGCGATAGGAAAAGACTTATATAGATAGTAAATGATACTCTACAAGCATTATCGTTGGCAGAAAGTTACAAATGTATGGAAATGGCAAAGCTAAGTATCACGTGTCAAAATGACCACGTAGTATATATTTCAGTTTTTTAATCGCGACTAGCATTGCCCGAGCCTCCGCCCGCGTTCAGATGACCAAAAACCAATATTATTATACTCTTACATTACAGTTTTTGTATTTTTTTTTCAAAATTGAGATATTTTCCCGCAATAAAAAGTATCCTATATGTTTACCCGGATAACCAGCTATCACCATACTAAATTTCATCAGAATCCCTCTAGTGGTTTTTCTGTGATGCGGTAACAGACAGACAAACAGACAAAAATTCTAAAAACTATAGATTCGGCCTCTGTATCGATAATAATGTTTATTTCTATAAGATTTTCCAAAAAATATTTAATGTACAGATTCGGCTTGGTTATAATTTTATTATATGTATAGTTATCGTTACATCTTTTTACGTGGAAATAGAGAAGGTCAACATGTGTAGAAACGTATGCTACACATCTTTTGGTGGTAATCTGTTCTGTCGGCAAAGGTATCTTCTCTTGAGATTTAACCTCCAAATGGTAGAGTCCCCTTCTAAATTATCTATAATCCCATAGTGGCAATACTAACCTTATATTTTGTTATTAAAAAAAATTAATGTTGATTTACTGATAATACTGAAGCAACACTGAGACTTTAAACTTAAATTAAGGCATTTTAAGACTAATTAATTATAAACGTATAAAGCAAATATATATTTAAGAAAGTATATCTAGTACTTTCTTTATGCGAAAATTTTAAATTTTAAATAAAACTATCTTTTTGGATTTTTCCGCGGATTTATTTTGATTTTTGGTTCTCGATGTTTCGAATGCTTTACAGCAATCATGTCTCACCCGTGACCATGACCATTATTGTATGTTAAATATTCGCGTAAACCTAAGAACAGTTACACTTTTACTCGAGACCATACGCAAGCAGAGCCTTTAACACTAACTAGTTACTTATATTATCCATATCTGTACTAATATTATTAATGCGAAAGTAACACTGTTCGTTTGTTTGTTCCCTTTTCATGACTAAACTTCTGAACCGATTTAGATGAAAATTAGTATGGAGATAATTTGAGACGCTGGGAAGGACATAGGATAGTTTTTACCCCGGAAATCATCCCTTATGGTGAAAAGGTACCCACCTTTGGAACTTTGTATGGGGAATCAATCATTTCTCAATTGAGGTATATAAAACTCATCATACCTAGACATATAGACTATAAACTTATCTTAATCCATACTAACTGTCAACATATATAATGTATCCATTGCTTCGATCTGTCTATAAAACAACCAACTCAATCATAATTTTATACTAGAATCCTAAAGTTATATATATTTCTAGATATACTCTTAGGTAGACAGTCGAAGTACTATTGTCCTGTAATAAATAGTGCGACCTCTGCTGCCTGGCGGTGACACTTCACTTCGATAGAGACTGGTTGAGACGTTGAACAATTGATATTTTAAGCGCTCAATTTTGCTGTTAACCATCTTAAATTTATCAAAATTAACAGGGTTTCTTTATAATTACGAATTTTCATAAAGAAGTCGCTTGTACTGTTATTGGATGAAATTTTCTTATAAATAAACTCAGACAAGATGTAATTCTCTAATTGGTGCGGACTATGTAAAAAATATGTAGCATTATGATTCTATGACATAACGATAAAATCTGTTCTTCCAATACAATTATTTAAAATTACTATTTAAAATTTAGAGATTTAGGATTTCAAGCATTTACTTTCATTTCTATGTTTAATAAGAAAATTCTTCCCGTGGGCAAGATAAGTTCAAATAAATTATAAGTTAAAATTAATACGTCTATTTATAGTATTCATAAATAATATTAGAGTAGAGTGGGTTGTAAAAATTTGTTTTCTGAACGATTAATATTTGTGTTGCAAACAAGTTGATTTTCAAATTATGTTCTTATCTGAAGTAAAATAACTTTGATGTAATTAAATATAAATGTATTTATATTTATTTACGTTCTTATGTTATAAAGTAATAATAAATTTATTTATCAACTAGCGACTAACCCTCGCTTCGCTCGGGTTCGTCCCTAGGTACGTTTTAATTTTTTTGAGCGGAACCCTAATTCTCTTTTGTTCTGAAAATAAAAGTAAGTAACTTACTTCTTAAAACAACAGCTATCTGCCAGTGACAGTCCCGTCAAAATCAGTCCAGCCGTTTCAGAGATTAGCTAGAACAAACAGACAGACAAAATATTTAAAGATTGTGTTTTTCTTATAAGCATTGTGTATAATCCATACGCAGTTTCAATTTTATTTATCTACTAGCGACTCACCCTCGTTATTAAATTCATTGGTTTTAATTTTTTTCGTGGGACCCTATTTTTTCTAAAATAAGAGAAGCCTAAGTTACTCCTTATAACATCAGCTATCTGCCAGTGAAAGTCTCTTCATAATTGGTCTAGTTGTTTCGGAGATAAGCCGGAACAAACAGACAGAAAGACAGACAGACAAAAATTGTAAAAAATATTGTTTTGGTATATATACCGTGTATATCCATCCAAATGCATTTAGTAAAAACCTGTTATTTTGACATAACAAACAGACACTTTATTTATCTGTATAGATGTAGAAGACTAGAGACTCACCCTCGCTCCGCTCGGGTTCGTCCCTACTTACATTTTAACGTTTAGTATAAATTTATTAGAGACGAGATATTTTCCCGCAGTAAAAAGCATCCTATATGTTGACTCGAATAACCAGCTATCATCATACCAAATTTCGTCAAAATCCCTTCAGTGGTTCTTCCGTGATGCAGTCACAAACAGACAGACATTTTTTTTAAAAACTATAGATTCGGCCTCAGTATCAAAATAATGTATATTTCAATAAGATTTTCCAAAAAATATTTGATGTACAGAATCGGCTTAGTTAAAATTTTATTATATGTATAGATGTGAAAGATTATAATTTTGTTAAAAATGTCTAATATTAGCGTAAATCTAAGAAAGTATTGAAGTCTTTAGCTGTATTTTATAAGTATAGTTTATATTACTCGTGCTACCCAAAAATACTATTTTATTACGTGAGTAATAATCTCATTGAATATATGTAGCTAAAGCTTAATACTCTATAATATTTTACTACTTACAATAAAAAATAACATGACGAACTCGAAGTAGTAGCGTTGATTCGGAGACATCTAAATTAAAAAAAATCACAAGTAATACTGGATTTTGCGACCCTTGAAAACACAATGAAACTGTTCCAGACAGCCGTCTTCAATTTGAGACCTAAAGCAAAATACGAATATTGTGTTTATAAAGCATTTGTTGGGAGCAAAATTGCAAAAAAATGTGAGACTTTTATCAGTACTTTGCCCATGGACACATTTCACAGAAGACAATGCGTTTCCGTTTAAGTGATATAGCGGCACGATTAGGATTCTTGTATCAGCTTTTATATAAACAACAAGTATTGCGAAGAAAATTCTCTGATGAAATTGTGAGATACCATTAATAAGTAAAATATTTTTTCCTTTGTAATAAATAGAAATATGTGTTTTAACTGGCATAATATCGAGGGTTGGTTACCTTGTTCATCTAAGGACTATCATGCAAATATTATAAACGTACTATGCAAGTGGAGTCGCGAGTTATACGTATATTGTAAAGCAAAAAAAATGTCTGAGGGAACCTAGCCAGTTTTCGAAAGACATGTGAAGTCCGCCAACCCGCACTTGACCAGAGTGGTGGACTATGGCCTGATTCTTCTCAAATTAAGGGAAGGCCTGGGCCCAGCAGTGGGACTTTAATAATAGAGGTTAAATGCAATACAATATTATTTGATCATTTAAGATTTTAGTCTGTTAAAAACTGATACTAATAATATTTATCTCTTGGTTGGTAGGTGAAGGCGAGCCCGGAGGCAGGCGGCGGTGCGCGGGCGCGGGCGGTGTGTCGCGCGGCATGCGGCGCCGCCCGCTGCTGCTGCTGCTGGCGTTGCTGCTCGCGCACGGCCTGCTCGCCGCGTCCGGAGGTAAGTGCTACACATTCAACAATGTATGTATTATCTAATACATAATTTTTGTCATCATCAAATAACAGATGATGGTATATATTTCTTATACCTTATCTTTTCTTAATTCAACTCTTTGTTCTGTGGCTTATAGGCGTGCTTTGGGTACAGTACATATTGAAAGTTATCCTTATCGTCGTCTCGGTGCTCATTTGTCCAAACACCTAATTTACTGAAAGAGTTTTATTAGAGATTTTTTGACTTCTAAATGTCACTTCTATTGGTATTAAATACACATTTAACTTTAAAAACCCGAAAATATGTATTTTATGTATATATGCTTATAAATCTTAGAAATAAAGTTTTTTTAAATAAAGGAAAAAAATCTCTACTGTAAAGCACTAGTTTAAGGAGTTTGAACAAATAAGCACTAATACAACGATACACACGACTTTAGTAAATGTATATTTGTATGTAATGAAACATAAATGTTTCTTGCAAGTTTCTTTTTATATTTTTACATCTCGTAAATATACCGTAAGTTTAAAGGAAAGTAAAAGGAAACCTTCTTGTGTAATGTCGGTTAACCGCTCGCTTCTGGGTTAGATTAATGAGAGGATCCTTGTAGAATGCAGAAGATTTAATTAATTATGTCCATTTGGATTTAGTTGCGAAGTTAGGATTAGATATGAACTAGTTAAAGTGAATTAATTATATTGTTTGCAATAGTATTTTATCTTTTTAACTTATCCCTTCCAGTGGTTTTGACTGCGTATTGACCTCTGTTAATTTCCACCGAACTTCTCCGTGTCTTCTCCTATGTGACATTGGCGAAGTACTCTTACGACATTGGCACACCGTCGCCAAGTTGCTTGTCTGTCGGTTTTCTACAGACTGTACTTCGATGAGTGTGCCCACGATCTCCACAGTCTCATACCGCCATCGCTATTCTTCTATCGAAATACCATACGTACTACAGGATACCATTCTTTCTTGGTTGACATTCCGACCACTCGCACTAAGCGCTATTCATCATCTTTTATAATGCGCACAGCCAAGAAGTGGAATGCCCTGCCTGCGTCTATTTTTCCGAGTGCGTATAACCTGAATCTATTTAAGGTGCGTGTTAACTGGCTTCTCCTGGGCAAACTTGCTAGATCGTAGATCTTATCTGTGCCTTTGAGCTAAGATGAAGGTCAAGAGTGAGCCCATTTCTAATAAAAAATACTCTGTGCTCAACTGGCACGCTTTGAAGCTAACATAACAAGGGAATTGAATTGATATTTTATTAAGGTTACCAAATAACTTGAACTTTAGTTTATATTTGAGAAGGAGTGGAAACTCAAGCTAGCAAGTAAAACCAGATTGAATCGACCGATAGGAAGACCTGTCTTGTAATACCCATGTGATACGCGTTCCACCAGATCATTAAGAATCATATAATAAAAAAAATGTTACATGTAATGTGTGCATGCAATTTAGATAATTTTGTTAGACATTAATTTTATTTAATAATTTAAAAACCATAGTCATTATAGATAGCTTGTTCCGTGTATATGTATATATATATACATATGCATATATATACATATATATATATATATATATATATATATATATATATATATACATATGCACATTTATAAAGCTAGTGGATACAATGATAACAGTACTATATTTTTGTATCTTAAGGCTAAGTTCAGTTGACCGCGTGGAGACGCGCGCTGCCGCGTGATTCAGCTGTTCAGAAAGTTATAATAATTATCAATAATTTAAAATTGAATAAAGCTCATTTGTACCGTTACTGGAATACTTTGTAGATTTCAATGTGTGGAACTAATGTCTTGTTGGGTCTCACGTAGGATAAGCAAATACCCTATTATATTTTTTTTTATATTATATTGTAAACACATATTATTTTAAAAGAGCAACTGTTGAGTATCTCGCCGGCTCGTCTCAGCAAAACTGCCTTGTCATAAATGGTAGTCAAAATTACTGTCTGACACTTAATTAAAATTTAAAATTAACGATTCCCAAGTGCTTGCAAAAGTCTATTTGAATCTGTATAAATATTATAAATGTGAAAGTTTGTGAGTATGGATGTTTGTTACTCTTTCACGCCTGAATGGCTGGACGGATCTGGATGAAATTTGGCACAGATATAGATTATAGTCTGGAATAACACGTAGGCTACTTTTTATCCCGAAAAATTTACGATTCCCGTGGGATAGGTTTGTTTTGGTTTTCCAGTAAAATATATTTTGATTTCATTTGACAACCTGAAATTTCACTTTCATTCAAAATCATTATAAAACGATACAATTAAGTTGATTTGGTTTAGATTTCTTCTTTTCCTTACTAAATATAGACATTTAACAAAAGCTTCATATAAATTATGTAGAATTCGTACTGCTAGTAAAGAAAGTCACATACAGATCAGTTATTGAGACCCTATGTGAATGAATAGTGACAAAACTGTTGATATCTGTCAAATATATCAAGCCAACAACGTGCAGCGAAAGCCAGAATGTGCTAAACAGGTCTTTTCAAGCGGACGTTAATTAACTCTGAATCCATGTACTGGTTTATTGGACAAAAAGTATTAGATTAATTGAGCGTTTTTCACCAATAAACTATTCGACGCCAGCCGCTTAAAAGTAGAAGCTATCAAATATTCAAGGTTTTCCAATCAAACAAATGTAGGGATTGAGTTGACAACAGTGTAAAAACAGAATAAAAAATGTCAGTTACAATTTTTTTTTTAATTTTTAACTTTATATGTAGACAATAATTTACGAAAGGTTTGAATTAATTCTTTTTTTTTTATTCTGTCCTTGTACTAATAGACTACTTTTCGATATATCACGAACAAAGCTTTCTTTAATTTTTGATCACTTTATAGTGTTGATTGATGGGTTTGTATTTACTTATTATTTTTTAAAGAAAAATATTTTTATAGATTATATTACGTCCTTGTAATAATTTTATTATGTAATATATACTTTTTTAATTTTATGTTAAATTTGTTACTTCTACCTACTAATTTATAAACGTCATTAAAAACATGATTTAAGACTCCTGCTTTACTCCGCCTTATACATATAAGTCACACAGGCAAAACTACAACAAAAACTAGTGTCAAATATACTTAAAAAAACTGTCGTAATCAAAATATTCTTTATTCAAATAGACTTTTATTTGTCAATTTTACATTTTAAATTTAAAATTGACAAATAAAAGTCAGTATGTACTCGTAAGTCCGTGAGAAATCTACGACCGGCTCGGAAAGCAGTTCTGCTCAGAAGAGCAGGTGAGAAACTACAGTTGCTGTTTTAAAAAATAATATTAGTTTAAAATACTGCAATACAACTATCTACTATTGCGCTTTCTATAATAAGAATTGCTACAATAATTATTCATATAATAACTCTTACTGTCTCGCCTTAACTCTTACTGGTCGTGTCGAGTGGTCGTCCCACTAGAGTATGAGAGTGATAGGAATAGAGAGTGCACTTGTGTCTGCGCGTACACTTGTGCACTATAATATCTCCTGCGCAGTTGGCTAGTCTCAATGAGATTGGCCGCCGTGGCCGGAATCGGTCAGGAGAACATCATCATCATCACATATAATAAAATTGTAACTAAGCCGAATCTGTAAATTTAGTATTTTTTGGAAAATCTTATTGAAATAGACGTTATTATCGATACAGAGGCCGAATCTATAGATTTTAGAATTTTTGTTTGTCTGTCTGTGACCGCATCACGAAAAAGCCACTGGAGGAATTTGGATGAAATTTGGTATAATAATAGCTGGTTATCCGGGTCCACATATAGGATATTTTTTACTACGAGAAAATATCTCATCTCTGAGAAATCTATACTAAACGTTAAAAAGTAGGGATGAACCCGAACGGAGCGAGGGTGAGTCGCTAGTCTAAAATAAAACTGTTCGGGAACCCTAGCGCTAACTGGTAACGTTTCTACTCTTACTTCGGTATAAATGTTTTGCGGACAGAACTGTCTCTGACAAATGAATGGGGTAAGCCACGTTGCAACGGATACGGCCAAAATGCATCTGGGTTAGTTGGTTGAATTAAAACGCTTCAACCCAGCGAAAACAAATTCTTGAGCGCTTGTAATTAAATGTAAGATTCGGTATTGTTTCTTTGATATATTACAAAGATATTTTAGTTAAACTATTCCAGTTAAATTTAACTGAGGTTTTAAATAAGGCTAATATATTAGTGAATTTATCTATACTATAATACTATAAAGAGGTAAAGTATGTGAGTTTGTGACGTTGTAGGGGGTACTCTCTGGATCTACTAAACCGATTTAGATGAAATTTATTAAGAAGATAGTTTGAAACACTGTTCCCAGTGTGTGTTTGCTTCCGCAAACTAAGGACGAACCTGAGCGAAGGGAGGGTGAGTCGCTAGTCTATAAATAAAATGAAATTATAGCTTTGTGAAAGTCTCCATCATAATATTAAAAATGCAATAGATACTAATATTATAAACGTGAAAGTAACTCTGTCTGTTACATTTTCATGTTTAAACCGTGAATTAGATTTCGATAAAAGGCTAGGATATAGACTACCTTTGATTCCTGTCCCAGTTACCACGCAAGTGACGCCGTGGGCAGAACTAATACTTTATAAGTGAGCAAGTGAATGAAAGTGTTCGTACTAGCACATCTGCGTTCTAGCACAACGGATTTAAGTGAAATTAAAATTAGAGATAGCTTATATAAATAAAGTACTTTACACATGGAGAAAATTTAGTTGAACATATCGAAGATTTTCTGTTCGACATGCTCATACAAATTAAATGTTATACACATAATGTATTCAAACGAAACCGGAAGCAGTAGACATAGTAAAAAAAATTTTTATTTTTTCATTTACAATATCTACTGCTTAAGATTCCGCTTTTGTTAATCTATGAATGTGATTTAAGCCAAAAGTAGCATTAACAATAATATTTGCAACATTTTCCATGTACATTTTTAATTGCAATTAAATTAATTTTGGTCGCAATCAATTGAAACATTGTAGCTATAAATCTGGTACATCAAAAGAGTATTCGCATAAATGTAAGGATACGTCAAAACAAAAACTAATTGTATTACCTTTACAGAACAATAGAAGGGAACTCTGAACGGACAATTACGTATATGTCAGGATCCCCCACTTTGATACTTCCTGCAATCCAACATTATCGTTT